GCCTCAGTTGGTGACGCCATAAACTGGGCCAGGAGATTCACCGCAAACGAGATATCAGGTCTGGTAATCGCCATATACTGCAAGCAGACAATAGAACGGCGATAAGTCGTGGAATCGAAGGGCGTGCTATCATAACCCAAGTCTATCAATATACACATCGGAGTAGAAACCGGCTTCGCCCCCGTCATGCCAAACTGTTCCAAAATGTCAGCCACGTACTGACTCTGAGACAGAAACATGCCATCCGCCGTAGGGACCACCGCCACACCTAAAAAATAATGCAACAACCCTAAATCTTTTAAGGCAAACAGGTATGCAAAACTACGAATAAAACCCGCAGTGAAGGCCTTATTGTTACCTGTAACGATTATATCGCCAACATAAACAAGGAAATACAAGGCAATATTGCCATTACAATAGATAAATAAAGAGGTGTCTGCGACAGATTTTTTAAAACCAAAAGAAACCAGAAAACGGGACAACTCCAGATACCAAGCCCGGGGCGCTTGTTTTAACCCGTAAATTGCCTTTTGCAAGCGGCAAACATGATCCGGCTTCTCCGATAAACAAAACCTGCTGGTTGGGCCATGTAAACTTCCTCGTGTAATGTGCCATTTAGGAAGACATTATTCACGTCTAGTTGACGCATAGACCAACCCTGTGAAAGAGCAATGCTAAGAATTACACGAATTGTGACTGATTTTACCACCGAACTAAAGGTCTCAAAATAATCTCGCCTAGATTCCTGTAAAAAACCTTTGGCCACGAGACGGGCCTTGAACCGGTCGACAGAGCCATTAGCTATGTGCTTCACCCTGAACACTCATTTACAGCCGACTATATTATGATTAGCCCGGGGCACTAACTCCCACGTGGAGTTCCTCTACTAGTGCACAAAATTCTTCTGACATAGTTGCACGCCATAAATCATTTTTCAATGCTTGGTCTACAGTACGTGGTTCTACCGTCTGAGCAACCGGATGCGACATTGTTAAATTGACAAACTTTTCCCCAAAATATTTGGGTTTGGGTCAGCGTTGCCTTTGAGACCTGCGCAATGGATTAGCCACCACACCCTCATCTGCCTCACCTGTCCGGCCATCAACCTGTGAGGAATCAGCTGCCGTGGAGGGAAGCTGGGATGAAACAGCAGCCTGCACCGAGGTTGCTGTAGCCACTGTCTCCACCGAACCGACCACACGACCAGCGCTGGACTGTCCTGGAAAAACATCGCTAAGTGGCATACCTAGAACTGTTGAGGTAGCCTGCTCACGGTCATGGCTAGACGTCGAAGTCCCGTGAGTCGCCGGAGGAAACGACGGCAGATTCTCCGCACCAACTGGAGAGTCAGGGGCACTGTCAGGTGGCATTGCCGGAGTGGAGCCTGGCGCCGTATTCGACGCTGACTCCAAGAACGGCGGATGGGTGGTAGCAGCTTGTAATGGCACATCAACACATGTAGTACAAAAAGTGGAAGAATACAAGGGCTCTCCCAAATTTAAACACATTGCTGAAGATTGTGATGTATTAGTGGGCGTAGCCTGACGAACCAAATCAGTGAATGGGAAAACGGTGGGAACAGACTAGACGTGACGAGAGACATAAACCCTCCCACTGGACACTTCTAAATACTTATACGCTAACTGACTCAATGAGTATCCCAAGAAAACACAGGGTAGAGACTTTGGACTTAGTTTGGATGGAAAATAAAGCTTCAACCATGGATAACATAAGCACCCGAACGGTCTAATATTTTGATAGTTCAGGTGTTTATTAAAGAGTTTCTCATAAGGCGATGCTTGACCGAGGAGAGTAGTGGGCAAACGGTTTATTAGGTAGACTGCCGTTTGAAAGGCATAGGGCCAATACAACACGGGTACGGACGCATAATGGAGTAGCGCCATACTTGTCTCGACAACGTGCCTATGTCAGCGCTCTGCCAGGCCATTGTGTTCCAGTGTATGCGGAGGTGTAGTGAAGTTTGAAATACCCAGGGAGTTAAAAGTCGGGATTAACTTTATGTATTCACCACCATTGTCAGAAAATACTGACACAATTTTGTAGCCAAAGTAATTTTCCACCATATGCTTAAATTGAAGAAAGACACTAGGCACATCTGATTTGAGTTTTAGCGGGAACAACCAAAGATATTTAGTATAATGGTCGACGAAGTTAATGTAATATAATATTTAAATCCATCGACTGAGACCGTTGCAGAACTCCAGACATCCGTGTAAATTAACTGCAACGGTCTACTACTCGATAGAGAACTGAAATATGGGAGTTTGTGGCTTTTATTTATGTGATAGAAATTACAAGAAAATGTCTTGAGCTCATTAGACGCAAAACTAACACCATTATTTCTAAGGAGACATGCTAAAACTCGAGGACTAGGATGCCCGAACTGATGATGCCAGTTAGACAACGAAGATTTGGTCGTGACATTCTTTTGCCCGAACTTGACCTGATGCTTCAGAAAGTAGGCAAAAGTGCAGTCCAAACTCCCTACATCCTTGCTTTTATTATTGTTGGGCAACAAACTATCAATCACGAGGAATTAGCAAAAGAATTGTAAGTATACTTAGGAATTAATTGAGTAATTAATTCGGGTTTAAGGGGCAAATTTCCGGGGTGTCACATAACAGTCATTATACCGGGCGGAAAAGCACCCGCCTTAACGACCATAAGGTCGGAAAAATAACGGTCATTAGACTAGGCGGAGAAGTGTCCGCCTTAACGACCATAAAGTCGGAAAAAATGAACGGTTTCTAGACTGGTGAGAATAAGCGTTCTCATTAACGATCACAAAATCGAATAAAAAATCGATCACATGACCAGGTGGAGGAGCGTCCACATTAATGACCGGAAGGTCGGTAGACCTTGGGAAAATCGTCCTCATGGACGATCGTAAGATCGGAAATGGTCTCTATACCGGGATGAGAAGTGTCTTCGTTTAACGATCGCAAGATCAAAAAACTATGAATGGTCTCTATACTGGGAGGACAAGTGTCATTGTTTAACGATCAATAGATCAGAAAAGTACGAACGATTTTTAGATCGGGAGGAGGCGCGTCATCGTTCGTGACCATGCGATCAGTAAAGCAATTGGTCCTTAGACCCCCTAACCCGAACTTGTATAGGAGTAAAAGTTTCTATGCCATCGATAGAGCAAATGGTCCTTAGACCAGGAACCCTAAAAGGGAGCTTCTAAGAGAAGCGCTATTAAAATGATCAGGAGATCGAAGTGATGACCCGAGCACAAGACTTTATTCGGAGGACCCGTACAATGGGCAAACCCATGTAGTTGACTTTAATACATGTCTAACCCGACATAATCTGGTAACCCTGAAAATTTACCGACCATCAATTCGAATAGTTATTCTCTGAGCCGAGTAGTTATGGTCAGAAATGAAACCGACCCTCGGATTACTCCTCCATGGTGCCGACCTTGGCACCATTAGGAGTGGGGGGCTGGTTAAGGTAAAAAAAAAAAAACACCGCATACCGATCATATTTGGTCGCAAAAAACATTAGATATCCAAGATAAAACCTTAGGTCCCAAGCTTGTGCTCGGTGTACGAAAGCGGGCGGACCCATTCGGTCGAACAATAACTCGGGTTTGACCTGATCTTATAGAAGAACCAAAATTATAACCTCGAAAGTATGACTGAGAAAAGAACAGTCAATTATTAGCCTGCACAACCCCGGAATAGTCCCATATGGGGTCGATTTGAATGGGCTCGGCCGTTCGTAATGAACTCCCATGTGGTGCCGACCTTAGCACCACAGGGAGTGGGGGGCTGCTAATGGGCTCGGGAATGAGAGGCCGGGAGTACAAAACCCCGCAATAAACAATTTAGGGAGGTCAAAACTCCCTTGCTTTTGAAATTTTTTTAGTCGAGATACCGACCTTGGAACATACCTACTTAGGTCGGTCCTAATTCCTAACAGGAAACATCGACTAGATTAGTCAAACCCGACCTTAGGTTGAGTTTGGGAGTCATCCTGAGCAAGAATTAATAACTTAGGCGTAGGGTCATACAACTGAGCCTAGAATAAGTGGAAGGCGTAGAACGCCCGAGGGTCCATGTGGCCGACCCGGTCTAAATAAGTTTGGTAGAAAGGAAAAAATACGAAAGAGTAGATTAAGCAAAAAAAAAATCAAGTAAAAGCCCAAGGGGCACAATTTGGATGCTCGACACATAAGGGGCCGAGCTCCCATAGTTGAATTAAAAAATAAGCACCGAGTGCCCAACACAACAAGGTCGGGCTCCCGATCATAATCGCTTACTCCCTATAAGGGGTCTTCTCTTTCTCAACCTCTGGCTGGGCTGTGGATGACTCGGGGGGAGCAGGCTCGTGTATGGTGCGAGCCCGGGATCAGCCACTTCCTCGGGAAGGACCCCAAGGACCGCCTCCAAGTCGTCGTCGTCCAAAGACTCAATCGGCAAGGGCTTCTCGAACGTCCGACCTCATTTTCCTCTTCTCACAAAACCCACAAAAGTAGTCTTATCCAGCTCGGGAGCCTCCGGCTTCACGCCTACTCCCGAGCTCAACCCATTAAACCAACAAGCAGACCACTTTATGACCGGAACCCGATCCGACCTTATACTTCATACATATTCCTAAGAAACACGGTATTTTACCACATCATTTCCCACCCTTAGAGGTGTCTACAATTTAACAAGGAGATTAATCACTGTGTATGACGGTGAAAACTCTGGACTACACAAAAAAACATTAAATATATTAAAAATTAAAAATGAACATTTATTTGTGATCCATAATATAATTTGCCTTTCTCTAACCATTTTTTTATGGAAGAATAATCACTCTTCGATAATAAAATAACTTGATCCAAATTAGGCAATCTTGAGTTGAACTTCATACATCTCAAATTAACCAATAAACTCAAACTCACCAAGTCATGGTTTAAGTCAACAAGATGCTTTTCCAAAAAAAAATAAAAATTCAACAAGATGCTGTGTCATTACTCATTAGTATGCTTAGCCACCGCCCACCGACTAAAACGCTGAGCACTTCAAACCTAGTAACTTACCAACATACGAAAAGATTCAGCATCAATTTCATCCCAACTCGATAAAACGTTAGCATTTAGGAAGTACGGAGTATAAATTGTGCTAGATTTTATCGAGGTCGGCTGAGATGCCGTAAATGTCCAATCCTCTGCTTAAACCGGGAGATTTTGCAGAGGCTGTCTGACGAATTATTTTCATTTTTCTCCACTCGACCCTGCCCTTCACGCTACACTCAAGCACCGCTACAGAGCTTTGGTTGTCACGAAAACCAAAATAGGGCCGGCGAAGGGCGGGGGTTTACTCTGATTCTGGAATTCTCCGGGTGAATTTTGAGAATTCGCGTATGTCGTCGTCTCATACTAATGAGAAGTGAGTTGAATTTTAATTTAACTCCTTTTGGGCTTTCATCTATTTCTGAATCAAGAGTTGCTATGGTCTTATCGCCATATTTTTCTGTCAGTTGGGAGAAAGATTGAAATTGGATTCAATTTGTTCTTTTCTTATTTTGTTGCTGGGTTATTTAATTTATTTTTTAATACCTTTTTCATTTTTGGTACGGCAAACTTTCTTCTCTTACTTCTTGTTCTATTTATTAATTTTCTGTGTTTAATTGTTTATAACAATTATTGGTTTTGTATACTTGGCTATTTTAGTAAGAAACTGATATGAAATACTTTGTTGGACTCAGCTCGGAGTTTGGTTATTGAGCTTAGTAAGGACTAGAAATGTATTCAATTTGTGATATTTTTGTTATTTATTTGTGGAAATGTGGGCAATATTTTGTAATTTTACTCTTTATTGCAGTATTGTGCCGCCAACCTTGATGCTCATTTTGAGCTACTGTTAGTTTCCATGAAGAGTTAAATGTTACAGTTATACTTTTCAACTTAAACATTTGTTACCTCTTGATTTTAGTAATAGTTGAAAAAGTGGACTGCAGTGGGTTACACTAGTGAAATGCTAGGTAGCTTGGTGCTTTTTTGGGGGGTACTTTGGAGGGAAAGGGGGATTTGAACTTCTCACCTTGGCCAACTAAGCCAATGGACCAATGCTTGGGAGGTTTTAGTAGTTTTGTAGTTTCCCTTGTGGCTGAGATTTACCTTCTGTTCCTGACAGATTCAGGGAAAAAGAGTGCTTAATGCTGTTCTGATTTTGGTCATGTTATTTATCTTTTGACAGAAATGGAATGATGGACGCTTGTGATCAAGTATCTAATGGTGTATCTTCGGTGGTGGATTGTCCCGAAAAGAAAAGGTCAAAGAAGAAAGGGGATATATCAAAAAATGTAGCAGAGGTTCTTGCTAAGTGGAAAGAACACAATGCCAAAGTGGACTCTATGGCAGATGGGCAAACAACTTCAAGAAAAATAGCTGCAAAAGGATCAAAGAAGGGATGTATGAAGGGTAAAGGTGGTCCAGAGAATCACCGTGTTAACTATAGAGGTGTGAGGCAAAGGACATGGGGTAAATGGGTTGCTGAAATCCGGGAGCCAAATCGAGGAAGTCGAATTTGGTTGGGGACCTTTACCAATGCACTTGAAGCTGCTCTTGCTTATGATGAAGCTGCAATAGCAATGTATGGCACAAGGGCCCGGCTCAACTTGCCTAATTACAGCTTGTCTAGGCAGTCTTTGAAAAAATCTTCTTCATCATTGACTGAGTTGGACTCTCGCTCTGCTTCAAGCCCCAGTGAGGTTTGTAATGCTGTCAATACTCAACATGCCATAATCCCCTTGGCTGCATGGACTGTATTTATCTAGTCTCTTTTCAAATTAAGTGCTAAATATGCTGTATGCTCTTGAGATTTGTTATGTGTTCTATTATGCTGAAAACACATATATGAATTGCTCTTTGACAAACTATATAGATTTCTAATTTACTCCCCACATGGAATCCCATAGCAAATCCAGCAAATACTTGCACATGTAAAAATGATTTACAAAATTGCATTGCACTATTGTAGTATTCCTAGGCAAATTAATGTGAAAACAAAAACCACAAGCTGAGTAGCTTCAATGTAAAGAAAGCAGAGATTTTCGGAACCACACCATGAATACACGGTTATGGTTGTTGTGGACATAATAGTGTGCTTTCTTCAGACTTGTTTTGAACAAATAAGTAATAACTAATTTCCATATCCTAAATGGTATCTGCACTAGGCTTGAATGCTTATTCTATATTATAAAGCATTAAAACCACCTTAAAATGTAGACTAAAGCAGATAGTACAGGATTCTATCTTGCATCACCAACAAATTTAAATCTAGCACCCTAACTCATGGAACAAAACTAGGATAGAATGAACTTCGAATGGAACTGTAAATGAACTTTTAAAACTCAAATTTGAAGGGTGAACATCCTTGGTTGATAAAGTTAGCATCAAATACCACCTATCCCATTACCTCTTCTAGTCTAGCCCTTGCCCATTTCTATCCCTTGTGCTCTAATTTGTTGGTGATACTATACAATTTTTTATCACATTTGTTCTTTCTATGACTAGCTAACTGGATCTTGTTATAGATGTGGATTGTGGAGTCACTTTAACTATAAGAAGCACATGCATGACTTCAATGATTGGCTAACTTGATTTTAGTTATTGATGTGGTGTAGGGGGAGTCACTTGGTTTTGTTGAACAATAGAAACCCTAGACCTATTTCTAGTAGGAATGGGATTGACTCAATATTTGTATAAATATAGGATCTCTTTACGGTCCAATACACAGAAATACAATAAACCTTTATTGTTTTTTATATGCTATTAGAACTTATGTATCCTACTATCCTTGCTATCTTTTCCTCTTCGTTTTCTCTCTCTCTCTCTCTCTCTCTCTCTCTCTCTCAAGCAAGAAGTTATTTTTCTAGTGAAAAAAAGCGTGTTTGTCCTCTTAGTTCCAACCTTTCGTTGCCTTTGCAAACGAACACCACTGCACTGTTTGGGACCTCATCGACACCCACCGCCAGGAAACCCATCACTGGAGACGCATTGCCCAATCGGCAGATCTCCGTTATGTTTTTCTTATCTCTCCTTCTTCGGTGATATTCTAGTCAAACCACATACACCAAAGTATTCCTTTTCCTTTGGCAATCACAATGATATATCTTTCTCCTATTGCCAGAAGCTTACGAGTCATGTTATGACATCATTGACATGTAAACAGGGTAAAATCCCTTTATACGAATGATATTCAACATCTCTATTCCCTAATCTCCAATATGCTTAATTTTCGGTGTCTGACTGATATGAATATACTAGAGTTCTTTGGATGAGTGGACACATTGCAGCAGTACTATAATAACCTATTGGTTTCGAGATATACGATTCTAGTTCTACCTCGTTAGTGACGACCCTAGTCAAATATGAGGAGTATCTTTCTTTTAAGGCTTCAAGAGCTTCCATTTCTATAGCAAATAGTAGTACTTCTGCTTCATCTCTAGCTTGTGTCTCTCAGACTAGTCCCTCAGGTACTTGGATTCTTGACTCGGGTGCCTCATACCATATTTTTGGCAATTCATGTCTCATAGTCCAAGTCGTTGCCCATGGTTGCTTTAGCAAATGGTTATCAAACACTAGTTGCTGGTGTTGGGTGTTGGTTAGGCTTTACTTGTTTCTTCTATACCTTTACAGTTAATTTAATATGTTTCTAATAGTCCTTTCAACCTTGTCTCCATGAACAAAATTACTCGTTCGCTTAATTGTTCCATAACCTTTTATGTTGACTCAGTTGTTGTGTAGGATCGCAGTCTCGTAGGAGTTGTAGGTCCCTTCCAAAGAGAGTTAATGATTGGGTTGCCTCCCGTTGTGATTTAGTTCATATTAATATTTGGGGTCCGTTTTGAGTCACTTCTACTTAGGGGAGTCAAGTTTGGTATGTAAACTTTGTCACTCTTTATATGGCCTAAAGCAATCCTGTGAGCCTAATTTGGACAGTTTAGCTCCGTGGTTTGTGAGTTTGGTATGATTTGAAGTGAAGTTGATCACTTAGTGTTCTATCAGCATCCTGATGATAATTGATGGTGGATGCATCTATTTTGTAATGTATGTGAATGGCATTGTTATTACAGATAGATATCAAGAAGGCATCCCATGAGCTTGGTTTGGACAATTTAGCTCTGTGGTTTGTGAGTTTGGTATGATTTTAATTTTTTAGTGAGGTTGATCACTTTATGTTCTATCGGCATTCTGATGATGGCAGATGCATCTATCTTGTAGTGTATGTGGATGACATTGTTATTGTAGGAAGAGATCAAGAAGGCATATATGTCTTTCAATCAATTCTAGACTAAAGATTTGGGCAAGCTAAAGTACTTTCTCGGATTGAAGTGGCCCAATCTAGCAATGGTAGTCATTTCTCAAAGAAAATATGTCCTGGATAGAAGAAACTCACATGCTAGATTGTAGACTTGTGCATAATTTGATGGATCCAACTCTAAACCTCTACCAAGACATGGGGAGCCATTGCTTGCAAGAGCAATACAAGAGATTATTGGGCAGTTGAGCTTCCTTACAATCACTTGACCATATGTCTCTTTCGTAGTTCATGTATTAAGTTAGTTTCTTGAGAACCCATGTGATAATTGTTGGGATGCTGCTGTTCAAGTTATAAGGTACATCAAGAAGGCACCAAGGCAAGGTTTACTATATGAAGACGAACACACGCTCATATTCTTTCGTACTCTGATGCAAATTGGGCAAGTTGTCCATTTGACAGATGCTCTACTTCAGGTTATTGTGTGCATATTGGTGGTAACCTTGTATCTTGGAAGATGTTAAAATTGAGGGATTGAAGAACTTGGTGGCTGGCAAATAGTCACTACCTACCAGTTAGGCTGGAGCAAAATTTGTGAGAAACCAAACCTACTCCTACTAGGAATAGGATTAAAATTTCCTATTATTCAATAGAAGAAGAGTAAGAACTAAGAAGCAAGATGTTGTTGTCGAGTCTAGTGCTGAAGCTGAAGCTATGTGTCGTGATATAGCCCCTGCTATATGTGAACTTATGTGGTAGAAACACTTGCTCCCAAAGTTATAGTGTTGTGATATTGCTCAAAGTTACTGTGTTGTGATGTTGCTCAAATGACATTGATATGTGACAATTAGACAACAATATACATTGCCTCATAGATATTAGTACTCTGCAACTATGCATTATAAGTATTATAATTTAAAAACATCAGATGATGCATAAGCAATATTAAAATAATATTTTTTAAAAGAATACTTTATGCTCTAGCTTGAGGGGTAGTGTTGAACACTAGAAAGTATAGACCCACTCCTAATAGGAATGGGATTGGCTCAATATTCTTATAAATATAGGACCTCTGTACAGTTCAATACAAAGAAATAAAGTAAACCTTTATTGTTTTTACTGATTTAAAGTATAATCCTGAATCTAGATCACTCCATCAATAGTTTCAATACACATCAATATATTCATTAATTTTTTAATTTTAATATTGCTTATGCATCATCTGATGTTTTTAAATTATAATAATTATAATGCATAGTTGCAGAGTACTAATATCTCTGATTAGTTCTTCAAACAAATGGTTGATTTTATGGTTTATTTTCCTTCTTGAAATAAGCTGAAGCTTTAATCTCTTAACATTTCTCTAATTGTGTAATGCGAATATAATGTTGTATTGCAATTACCGTCTTGTAAACTTTTGTAGGCGACAACAGTAGTGCAGTGCAGTGATAAAGGATCATCTAGCAACTTGGGTTATTGTGATGAGAGTCAAGATGTTACTGCAACTGGGTGAGTTGTAAGAATGATTTTTGGCTTTTTAAAATTTATATGGAAACAATGTCCCTTAGGTTGGATCTAAATGGTTGAAAATTACTCAACTGTTTTTAAATTTATTTTTCAATCTTTTCGCCGAAAGGTTGGGGGGAGGAGTTATTGGAATTGTAGGCCACATAACTGGATCAAGATTCCAGAAAATTAACCATAATTTGCATCTGTCAAGATAATAAGAAACAGATCTTGGCAGTTTAAAGACTTAAATGAGATCTGCAGGTGATTTATTTGCTTATTCGCTCGTTCTTTCTTTGTTTCTCTTCATCTTTGCATGTGAACTATTTGTTCTATTAAAAAACTAATTTGCAGTTCATAGTTTCTTGTTTTTGTGTGCACAAAGTCTGTCTGAGTTGGCACTAATTATCAATTGTATAGCATTTTTATCCAAATGTGCGCATACAAATTTAGATCCAAGTGCAAAAAATTCAATTTTGTATGGGTTACGCTCCTTTTAAAGGCATAAACTTACAGAATTTTAATACAAGGCAAACTCTTAAAGCATCCTATTTGAATAATGAAGATTAGGGAATGGAACAAATTGCGTCAGCACAGCCATTTTTAAGCATTTGGTTATAATGATTGTATGGGCTTGGAAATACAGTGCAAGTTCTGACACTATTTACTTAGAACAGTTTCATTAATCTTTTTTAGCTCACAATTTAGTTTCATGTCATGGCTGGCTGTCAAATGGCCTGTGGTGTGTTTTCATTGTTGTTAGGTCAAGTATTTCATAGTATCTTATATGCTTGAGATGGACAAACATATGAACTTTTGGCTAATCTGTTTTGGCTCATAGGTGACTTCCATATTGTGGATCATGGCTGACTTTTCTGTTGTTGGATTTTTCCAGGGAGGATGCAAATAATGAAGGGCATGTCTCTGAAGATTTAAGAATGACTGCTGAAGATCAAGTAGAGTACAATGATAAGCTTGATATCGTGATTAGTGAGGACAAGCTAACAAATGAAGTCCCTTCAAATGAATCGAGAGGACTTTTGATGGAAGATAAAGGTAGTATGGAGATTCCTCATTGTCATTATAGAGGTGTTAAGCAGAGAAGATATTTGATTAATGTGTTTCTGAAACTTTGAACCTTAATACAGGCATCAATCAGCAGTTAGATATATTTAGTGGTACATACAAAGCTGCTATTGCCCAAGACGAAGCTGCAAAAAGATTGCATGGTCCTTGTGTACAGCTCCTTCCTAACTGCAAGTTAGGAATGAAATCTTGGACACGTTCTTCTTTGGGGTCATCGGGATCTGACTTGACAACATCAAACCATGCTGAAGTTAGTACAGCTGGTAATACAAAGGTGAAGTTGTATTAATAACATTTTTTCATTAATTCAAATTTTGAGGCAAAATGAATATAGTTCATGAAAAGGAGGAAAAATTTACCCTCTTGTGGCAAAATGAATATAGGCCAAAATAATAATGAAAAAAGAAGTTAAGGTTCTGACATTTTATGGACTTGAGCTGACAGCTTGTTTATTCTGTCCTAGATTATTAGTATATGCATATTAGTCTTTTCCAACCTTTTTGTTTTCCCTGTTGAATGCTGATGGAAGCACCACTGGCAAAACTCTCCTTTCCCGAGCATTCAATCCTAGCTTGCCTTTTAATGAGTTAAGCACTTAATCCTACTGTGTGTGTAATTGTATATGCATACACTACTAACATAAATGAAGTACTTAAAAATAAATCATGTTAATAATGAATTAATGTGGATGTGGATTTGCTACTACTGCAGCTTCATTTAAGAAAATCATCTCTAACAAAGACAAAATACCTGTAGCCCTCTTCATAGAGAGTACTAGTAGGAGCCGAAACATCTGAATGTTTAACACTTCAACATAAGGACCTTCAAACATGATCATTGACTTGGGAGACAAAAGGGGCATGCTCACTGACAAAAGTTATAACTTTTTGACTAGCTAAACCAAAAAGGCTTAGGATTAACTTCTTCAATTTGACCAAAGGATGACCTAGGCAAAAATGAATCTGATCGATGGGGGGCAGAGACAGTATTTGAAAAATGCAGATGAAGATACTGATAGAAATATAGGACGCCTTCAGACTGATGACCTTTGCCAATTGTTCTCTTCATCTTGAAATCCTCAGTGAGACAGTGACACCAGAATTAGGAATAGAATTATGATGGAATTCAATTGTTTAGTTAGTTTACTTGCAGCCATAAGATTACATGGTAATTTGAGAGTGTAAAGGCCATAGCCATAAGCATGATATGAGTGGGATTAAGAGCTGTAAGAGAACTAAACAATTAGGGATTACCCAATATATGAACAAAAGCCCGAGGCAATGACCCTACCCCAGGAATAGTATGGGACACAAAATTTGGGTCAAATTTTGTTCTGTTATAGTTTTACATTGTCTAATTTTTATTCAAAATAATTTAGTTTTCTAGATTGTTCTGTGTTACATACACAAATGCAAAACTCCATTTCCAACTTGTACTGCTTTAGTTTTAAAAAAGAGACGAATTTATCAGAGAAATGCCTCACCATTGTTCATCTCATTCCTGAAGCAGACTAGCTGGAATGATGCAGTAAGTTTGCCGCCTACTTCTACTTGCAAAATGTAGTTCAGTGAAGTTGGTTTTCATAGTTAAGGTGCATCCTTTCGTATGCCATTGTATTTACTAGACTGAGACTGATACAGTGGATATTTTAAAGTTTTAATCTAGGAAACTAATATAACTTTCATGTAGAGCTAGGCTTTCCTTTGACCAGCTATGTGGACCCTGAAAATGTACTTTACATTAATGATCCCTATATTGCTGCAGGTGACAGTATGTCTGCAGTGTGGTGATGAAGGATTCAGCAATTCCTTAATTCATTGTGTTCAGTGTCAGCATGTTGCCATACATCGGTAAGTTTATCTCTGCATATTCTTATCATGAAAACATGGAAGTGAACCACTTGAAAAGTAGTAATATATACCTTTGAAAATTTTATAAATACTGGACGGGTATGTCTTCTAGTTAGCTTCATTTTTTTTTCTTTTGGCCACAACAATGATATATATAACTGACAACCAATATATAAGAATAGTATGATTTAGTTACTCTTTATTTTTTTTTTTTGGCTGCAATGATGATGATATATATATATATAGGGATGCACTCAGGTGCAAATAAGTGCCCAGGAGGGAATATGCGAACGAAAAATCAGCGTGCGACACGTGTTCAGATCTAATAGATTAAAAAAATGCGGTGGCATTTTCGTAAATAATTGAACATCGAAGTGCAAGTAAAATCACTTACAAGTGCACGTGCATGTAATTTTGCCTTGTCAACATTCACTTCCCGCAACCATTCATTCACCTAGGTGCTCTTACTTATAACTATAGGTGCAACTATTTATAACTATTGGTGCAATTACTTATAACTATTTGTGCACCTACTTTCACCTATAAGTGCATGTAATTTTGTCTTGTTAACATTCACTTCTCGCACCCATTCATTCATCTGGGTGCACCTACTTATAACTATAGGTGCAACTACTTATAACTATTGGTGCAACTACTTATAACTATAGGCGCACCTACTTTCACCTATAAATGCATGTAATTTTGTCTTGTTAACATTCACTTCCCGCAACCATTCATTCACCTGGGTGCACCTACTTATAACTATAGGTGCAACTACTTATACTTATAGGTGTAACTACTTATAGCTATAGATGCAACTACTTATAACTATAGGTGCACTTCGTATTGGTGCTTAGTGTAAATTTTACTTGCACTTATAATACATTTTACTTGCACTTCGATGTTCAATTATTTATGAAAATGTCACCGCGTTTTTTTAATCCATTAGATCTGGACACGTGCCGCGCGCTGATTGGTTCGCATATTCCTTCCTGGGCACTTCATTCGCACCTGAGTGCAATATATATATATATATATATATATATATATATAGGATCAGGTGCGATAATAGGTTGTAGGTGAAAGATGGGGTTTAATCTCAGCCCTTGATCTAGCCAAAATCAACAGCCCAGATTGAAGAAAACTTAAAAAAAAACGTTGTGGCATTATGTTAATTTTGCATAAGTTCAAAACTTAAGGTGCGTAAGTTCATAGCTTTAGGTGTGTAAATTTATAGCTTAAGGTGCGTAAGTTTATAGCTGTAGGTGCCTAAG